GGTGTGTAGCCTTCAACTGGTCAAAACGTCAAATCAGCCATCATCAGGAAGCTACTCAAGGCCTATGCAAATCCTGGAAACCACAGTGTTTCTTTCTCAAGCAAGCCAGGAGCTCCTGGCTATTCATCGGTTACATTCACTGATCCACGGCTTGAACTTTAAATGGACTATAAGACAGAGAAGAGTGGGTTTGGGGGGGAATGCCAGGCTCAGCCATCAGAAATGCCTCTTTCAAGCCAGTACAGGTGGGGCCAAACCTCTTCAATCTGTGCCTCAGCCTCCCCACCTGGACGTGGGCGCGGTCACACTAACCTACCTCCTCTGGTGTGTTGTGATGATCGTAGAGTAAGGAACGCTTCTTAAAGAACAAAGTAGAGACGTGCATCCACCGAGTCCAGGCCAACGGTTCACACTTGGAGGACAGAGCCTGCGAGATGACTTTCCCGAACCTCGTCTGACATGTCTTCCATCCAGGAGCACGTGTTGATTACACAGCTGCCTGGCCAGGAGTGAGTAAGGCCAGATTCACCTGAGCACAGAGAGCAACAGACAACTGCTCCCGTTCTCAGAACGGCCTGCTTTGATGGCACTGTGTGGAGCACTGTACGCAGGCTAAGCATCTGCATGCAGACGCTGCCTTGAAACATGGAAAGACAGCGACCGCCTCCCTGCCTTTGTGGTTATCTTAGCCCTCGTTTAAGGGGACCTTCAGCTGACGATGTTTCTCCTCTGTTTTCAAAGATCTCCGCAGAAGGAACAGCTTTGAAAACAAACACCTAAGCATGAGAAGGCATACAACCGAACTATGGTCTGGAAGGCAGGTTGGCCTAAAAGGTGGAGGGCCTGGTGTCCCCACGGGCTGGGACTCACCTGCACTACCTGTTATGGGGGTGGGGTTCATGGGTTTCTTGATGAATGACGTTGACTTGAGTCAGAGTAGCTGGGAGCTGAGGCTGCAGGCAAGTCTCTGAGCCAGGAGGCATCACTGTCTCTCAACGGGAGCAGAGGGCTGCCTGGCCCAAGTGCTGGGAGACCCAGGTAGCTCCTGGGCGCCACTCCCCAGACTAGGACCTCAGAAAGCCTCCGAGGAGAATCCGAGATAGGCTTCGGGTCCTGAAAAGTGACAGCTGGCAGCTGTGGGCACAGGAGCACAGTGGGTGTTTCCTGGGTGCGGCCGCAGCTGGGGAAGGACCCTTACAACTCCTCAGTGGTGACTGGACGTCCCAGGCCCCGGGGTTTTCTCGGCACCAAGAGGAAGTGCAGAGTGAGCAAAGCAGAAAACGTTAAATGCATGATGTAGAATTGCTGCTTTCACACTCAACTGTTGTATTAAGCATGAGAGATGTGTGTTTAACGTTGGCAAAGGAAATTTCAAAGTAGCAAAAAGCTTCGTGTCCTTGTTTTAGCTGTTGATGACGGAAGCTCCACCTTCCTGTCTTTCTTTACCCTGCTTTCCCCCTCCCCGACTCCTCCCCCGCTGTGCCCACTCTCTGTCAGGAGTTGCTGCTGTTGGGTGGCAGCTCTTGGTCCTGTTGGTGTTCACATTCCACTGGAAACCCAGAGGAGGGAGGTGGGGGGAAGGTATGCAACTTTTTTCTAATTTTTGTATTGGTATCCCAAGCGTTTGTATTTTTTGAATTGCAAACACTGTGCTTTCTGGTCTTTGGGGGTTGGTTGGACTTTGTGTATCGCCTTTTGGAAAACTTGAGTTTTACCACAACCTTAAGCAGATTTGAAATAAATTCTTTTGACACTGCCAACAGCTGAAAGACAAGGTCTGATCTGTGCTTACTGCTCAGCAGCCAGGTCTGCCTCTCCAAAGTGGCCTAAGTGCCAGCTGGATGGGGCAAAAGCTGCAGTGGGGTGGGGTGGGGTCCAGGGGAGGCCCAAGGTCAATGTGCTTCTCTGCGTGTGCTCATGAAATCATAAGGTGACTGATTACCTGTGATGTATGCTAAGTCATTTCAGTCAGGTCCGACTCTTTGTGACTCCATGGACTCTAGCCCGCCAGGCTCCTCTGCCCATGGGATTCTCCAGGCAAGAATACTAGAGTGGGTTGCCATGCCCTCCTCCAGGGGATCTCCCTGACCCAGGGATCGGACCAACTTCTGTCTCCTGCACTGGGAGGTGGGTTCTTTACCACTAGCACCGTATGACTCTCAATTATAAGGTACTGTGTCAAGCAGTTCATGAAACTCACTTTTGCAAGAAAATGGTAAGAGTTAACACATGGTTGGGATAAATTCATGAATGAAAAGTTGATCATGGGCTGCAAGTGGAAGCTAAGATTTGGGGAAAATGTCCTAATTGACCTGGGAGCATGCAGGAGACTGACCAGCCTCTTCACCCACAGACTGAGCCTCGTGTCTGACTGAAAACTCTCTTTTCCAAATTGTGCTTACCAAGAACAGCTGTCTCCCGTACCACCACAGCCGGTGACCTGGTCTCAGCCTTCTGTCACCTGCTGGACCACCAAGTGGTTTAGCCAGGTTTCGGGGCCAGTTGTGGACTCTGAGAGCAGAGAGCAGGACGTCCCTTAGAGAGAGCTCTTGGCATCAACACAAAGAGAAGGAAGCAGAACCTGGTCAAGGGAGACCCAGCAAAGGCCTCGGCCACTCAGCTCAGTCACACAGAGTTGGGATGAAAGGCCTGGGCTCTGACACCCTCACGTCAGTCATCACTGCCTGGGACGTTAGAGGGGGTGGGCATCCCTGAGAAGAGCTAACTGCTGAAGCAGGTACCTCAGCGCTCTTGGCAGAGGGTCGAGAGGGACGTGGCACGGCCCACCAGTCCACGCCCTGTGCCACACACAGGTTTCCCTGAAGTTTAGGCAGAGGCTCCTTCAGAGTCGCAGTGAGGGAAGCGGAGACGAGGCAGGCTGGCTGGTGCTGGAGCTGCACAGACTCTCAGCGTGTGCCTGGACTCCGTCCACCGCCACCAAGAGCCTGGACCCTCATCCCCAGGGGAGCGGGGGCGGGGAAGACCTGGGCTTCGTGTTGCCAGGCCCTTCTCAGTCCTGGGTTCCCGCGCTTGTCTATTTACCACCAACACTGTGAACAGGGAGCACCGCAAACATCTGGGTGACCACCTGGGGGCAGTCTCCTCCCTGCCCCCTGGGTGACTGCCGCCCTGCCTCCGCTTGCCGGTCAGGGTCAGCTACCTCTGCAAGCTGGTGCCCATAGTTGCCCGGCCAAGAGCCTTGGTTCAGTGGAACACAGCTGTGCTCTCTGCTTCCTTCTTTGTCTACAAGGCCAAGAGCCGTGGGGCCGGGAATCACGAGTTCCCTAAGCGGGTGCCTGGGATTAAGGACAGGTGGTAGTGTTGAATGGCAGCAGGACCAATCTGCCCAGGCATGCCCATGATCAGGGAGATGCCCTGTGAAGGGGGAAGGGCGCTGACTATGGAAGACATAGCAGGGAAGCACTAAAGCTCCCAAGCGTGGGCTCCTCCCCAGCAGGACTGTTCATCGTCACCTCTCTCTGCGGCCAGCCTTTGCTGGAGGAAGCCTCCCGAATGAGGAAGTACACAGCGTGGTCTCACGGGACCATCAGTCCTGAGCATGCAGACTTGCTTGTCGGCCTGACCTGAGTATTTCCAGAGCACCCAGTGGTCACATGGCTCCTCTGTATTTACTCCGTAAATTAAAAGGTGAAACAAGAAACAAGGAAAGCAATTTACACTAGGAGCTGGCATGCTTTTCCAGAATTGACTAGCTGGGACTCTGGTCGAGAGTCGGGCCAAGTGCTCAGTTATCTGAGCCACAAAGGCTCAGGGGAGGTGGGGTGAGGTGGGACTGCTAGGTTTCCTGGCTCCCTGTCAATAAGAAAATGAGTTAAACTGACCGACTACCCACTCCAGTAGGTCATTTCCAGCTCCTCAGATTTTTTCTAGGGCTCTGTCATGTTTGGGATCTTCTATATCTTCTTAAAAAATACACTTAAAAACTGCCAAGGACTTCGCTAGTGGTCTTAGTGGTTAGGAATCCACCTGCCAATGGTTCCATCCCTGGTCCGGTTCACATGCAGTAGAACAACTAAGCCTGCACTCCACAACTACTGAACCCATGCATCTAGAGCCCATGCTCTGCGACAAGAAGCCACCACAATTGAGAAACCCTTGTACCGCAACTAGAGTAGCCCACAGGCAACAATGCAGGGACAGAAGACTCAGCTCAGCCAAAAATGAATGGACTAATTAAAATACATCTGCCAAAATACAGACCCTAATGAATACTGCCTTTCAAAATAAACCAGAAAAAAAAGTACTTCCAGTGTTTTAACTTAATAAAACATTTCCAATTTTGCTTCAATTCAAAACATACTTTGAACAGTATCAATGCCTTCCAAGTCAACTTATGACTCACTTAAGAGAGTCAGCCAGTGTTGAAAAGTACCCCTCTGTGTTCCCCAAAACTTTATGTATGGCTGCCCCAAGAGATGACTTTGAAGGAGATAACATGTGTTTAACTTATTGGGTCATGTTTTTTAATAGTCATGTTCATTTTTACCAAAAAATTGTATCTATACAGCTTCTTACAAAGTAGATTTTATACACCTTAGGTAGGCTGAAAATTTAAACTGCTTTTCCCACAAAACAACTGACAAATTATCACATTCTTAATTCTTTAATGATTAAACATTTTTAGAAAATTAAAAAGCAATTTTAAGCTAATTATTAGAAGCTACAAATCTGTAAAATTATGAAATATCTACAAGCAAACACACAAGGCACCAGTGAAAGTGAAACTTGAGTGAACCTCACTGGAGAATATTAAACATTCTTCTCAATAATCTGACTTCAGATTCACATTGCAGTTGGCCCAATGTGGTTATCATTAAAAAACAGATACTTCAGCAGCTAGAAGTTCATTATTTCAATTTTTTTTCTTAAGATAAAAAAGTCTATGAAATACAAAATAAATAAGAATAATCTGAAGTCTTGTAGGGGTCCAGTTTCAGTCCATTTGGCACTTTCCCATTTCTCTATTTTATAAAGAAACGTCATTTAGCCACTCTGGAAGAATTTATTTTCTTGATATCAACTTGGCTCAGAATCAATGTCCCATTTTTGAATTTTCCAACCTGTCCAGTCCTTCCACTTGACAAAATACTTGGAGCAGACTTCTTCTTTGATTTCCTACATTTAAAGTGAGAGAAAATTACTATAATGAAGCTTTAAACAAATGATTCCAGCACCACAACCAGGCCACCTGGGTCTGCTCCTGTGAACTCTCAGCTCTTCCCAGGCACGGCCCCCGGCCCAGTGTCATACCACCCTCCTTCCTGCGGGCCCTGAACTGCCTCCTGCCTCAGGGCCTTTGCACTGGCTTCTTCTACCCTGAATAATCTGCTACCAGGTCTTTCCAGATCTTCCTCTTTATTCAGTTCTCAAGACTGAGATGGGGCTTCCTTAGAACAGCACACCAGCCCGCCTTCAGCGACATTCTCTCACAGTGTGCTAAACTTCAACCTCCTCACGAAGCCTGCCAGCTGCCCTGGGGGCTCAGATGGTAAAGAATCTGCTTGCAATGCGGGACACCTGGGTTCGATCCCTGGATTGGGAAGATCCCCTGGAAGAGGGCATGGCAACCCACTCCAGTATTTTTGCTTGGAGAATCCCATGGACAGAGGAGCCTGGTGGACTATAGTCCATGGGGTCTGCAAAGAATCGGACATAGCTGAGAGACTAACACTTTCACGAAGCCTGCCAGGACCTGACATGCCCTTACATATCTGTTTATAGTTTTTAATGTGCTTCCCGCCCTAAAATGTGTGCTCCTCCAGAGCAGAGACCCTCAATGTGCTCACGGCTGTACCCCCAACATCTATGTGCCCAGCACACAGCAGGACCTCAACAGACCACACAACCAGAAACAAATAAATGATCAGCTTCCAGCTGTAGACAAAAGTAGATTTTGAAACAGTAATTTGAGGAGAGAGAAAGAGGTACTTGAATGAAAGCTAAGAAATAAGCAGAATGGCAGAAAATCAAGGTCCCACTACTCAAACCCCAGCGCTCTCCCTTGTGTGGCTGCGGACAGGCAGGCAACACAGACCCCGGCCGGTCACGCTGACCCAGCAGCACCTCTCTTAGGATGGAACAGAGGTCTTATTGGAAACTGCAGTCCCAGCTTTTCCATCAGTCACTGCACATGTCTGGTGCTTGAAAACAGGTTCCTGATTCAACTCTGAGGGAGTCACCTCATCTTGGACGATTCACTAAATCCTGCCTCCCCCCTCAAGGGCTTGCCTTAGGATAAGAGAGACAGTGCAGCACTGCAGCAGGCTCGAAACACCACGTGCATTCAAGGCATGACCTTCAGAACTAACCAAAAGGTTTATCCGAACCATTCCACCCCAGTGCCTAACAGTATTACTTACTTGTCTTCCTGCCCTTTCCTCTTCTTTTTCTTGAAAATATCTGTGTCCTTGGCCTGAATTCAGAATCAAAGAAAAAATACGTATCCATAATGGATAAAGGAGATTCAAAAAAAGGCAAGAGATTTGTCACCAAAAGCCACAGAGATACCATTTATTTTTAATATTTTTTCAAGTAGGCACATTAAACGTAACAGACTCAAAGTTTCATCCTAAAACTCTTTCAAGACTGCGAAAGGCCATTCAGAGAAAATGAACAGTAGAAAGGTCAAACCTTCCATTTTTAAGTGAAAGGGAGGGAATATAACATCCGCATACCCTTGTGGTTTGTCATAAGCCTGTGTGTTCTACACAATGCAAAAGGCAAAAGAAACAACCTGATATAGTGAAAAGATCAAAGTACCTCATAGTATCTGAACGGGAGTTTGCCATTTCAAAGCAACCCTTTCATGTAAATGAGACAGATTACGTGGCTGGTATCACAAAATGCAGCTGACTCTAAGAAGTGGACAGAATGGTTATTTAACTCTAGGCTCGTTGCTGCCTAGACTGCTTTCCAAGCAGAGGGGTCCACCATTGCACTGCGGCAAACTGACACCATCTTTCCATTCTAGTTTAATAAAGAGGCTATGACACCTACCATTCTCTTTTCCTCTTCCTTTGCTGCCTTCTTTTCTTTGATGTGCTCCTGCAAAACCTTGTAATTCACATAACTATTTTTGGGAGGCTGAAAGGAGAAAGGACACATCTCATTTTTTATCTTGCAAACACTTCCCAGCGCCCCCCACCTTGCCTTGCTCAGGGGTTCCCCTCCTCCATAACCTGGCTGGGGTGGAAGGCAGAGGCAGCCCCTCACCCGAGCACCCAGCATAATGGCACGTTCCCGTTCCAGGACTCTCTCCTTTCCTTTTCCATAGCCTGTGATCCCAAACCGGTGCACTTCCAAGCGAGCCTGCAGACACAAAGCAGAGTCAGACCCGAGTGCCTTCCAGAGACTCCACAGAGGGAACACAGCCCCAGGGGTACTGCCCACCAGACACGATGCGCTGCACCCCCAACGCTACTATGTGTGACCCGCAGCGGTCGGCTACACCGCCAGAGTTCTGTCACGGTGGCAGGTCAGTGGCTTTGTGGAGCCTCTCACAAAGGTTCCTGACTTCCCCACACCACTCTCCCACATTTAATGCAGGCAGCTGAAGCTGAGATTTCTCTGCGCACAAATCAGTGACAAAACCAGGATGACCCACAGAGCTCTATGGCACTTTAGATGTACCCTAAAACAAGCTGCTACCCGCAAAGGAAACAAAGCACTCCCCAGACACATCTCCTCACACCAAGAAACACTTTATCACAACAGCTTCAAACACAGGTCCATTTCCTTTAAAAACATTGTTGGAACTTCCCTAATCCACGGGTTAAAGAATCTGCCTTGCAATGCAGGGGATATGGGTGTGATCCCTGGTCAGGGAACTAAAATCCCACAGGCCAAGGGGCTATGAGCCTGAGCACGCCATAGCCTGTGCACCACAACCATAGATCCCACATAACACAACTAAGACTCAGGGCAGCCAAAAAATAAATACATTAAAAAAAATTTAATACATTATATATAAAAAAACATATTGTAAAAGAGAAAAAGTCACCAATACCCACCCTTGGCAGCTGAACTACTTCCTACCTTTTTTCTCACACATTTTTATTTTTTTAATTTAATTGGAAGCTAATTAGTTTACAGTATTGTGGTGGTTTTTGCCAGACACTGACATGAATCAGCCATGGGAGTACATGTGTTCCCCATCCTGAACCCCACTCCCACCTCCCTCCCCATCCCATCCCTCAGGGTCATCCCAGTGCACCAGCCCCGAGCACCCTGTCTCATGCATCAGACCTGGACTGGTGATCTGTTTTACATATGATAATATACATGTTTCAATGCTATTCTCTCCCACATCCCTTGCGTTCTCCCACAGAGTCCAAAAGTCTGTTCTTTACATCTGTGTCTCTTTTGCTGTCTCGCATATAGGGTCATAGTTACCATCTTTCTAAATTCCATATATATGCGTTAATATACTGTATTGGTGTTTTTCTTTCTGACTTACTTCACTCTGTATAATAGGCTCCAGGTTCAACCACCTCATTAGAACTGATTAAAATGCATTCTTTTTAATAACTGAGTAATATTCCCTTGTGTAAATGTACTATAACTTTCTTATCCATTCGTCTGCCAATGGACATCTAGGTTGCTTCCATGTCCTGGCTATTATAAACAGTGCTGCGATGAACACTGGGGTACATGTGTCTCCTTCAGTTCTGGTTTCCTCAGTGTGTATGCCCAGCAGTGGGATTGCTGGGTCATATGGCAGATCTATTTCCAGGTTTTTAAGGAATCTCCACACTGTTCTCCATAGTGGCTGTCCTAGTTTGCATTCCCACCAACAGTGTAAGTGGGTTCTGTTTCCTCCACACCCTCTCCAGCATTTATTGCTTGTAGACTTTCGGATAGCAGCTATTCTGGCCAGCGTTGAGATGGTACCTCATTGTGGTTTTGATTTGCATTCCTCTGATCATGAGTGATGTTGAGCATCTTTTCACGTGTTTGTTAGCCATCTGAAGGTCTTCTTTGGAGAAATGTCTGTTTAGTTCTTTGGCCCATTTTTTGATTGGGTTGCTTAGTTTTCTGGCATTAAGCTGCATGAGCTGCTTGTATATTTTTGAGATTGTTTGCCAGCTGCTTCATTTGCTATTATTTTCTCCCATTCTGAAGGCTGTCTTTTCACCTTGCTTATAGTTTCCTTTGTTGTGTAAAAGCTTTAAAGTTTAATTAGGTCCCATTTGTTTATTTTTGCTTTTATTTCCATTACTCTGGGAGGAGGGTCATAGAGGATCCTGCTATGATTTACATCAGAATGTTTTGCCTATGTTCTCCTCTAGGAGTTTTATAGTTTCTGGTCTTACATTTAGATCTTTAATCCATTTTGAGTTTATTTTTATATATGGTGTTAGAAAGTGTTCTAGTTTCATTCTTTTACAAGTTGTTGACCAGTTTTCCCAGCACCACTTGTTAAATAGAATGTCTTTTGTCCATTGTATAGTCTTGCCTCCTTTGTCAAAGATAAAGTGTCCATAGTTACCTGGATTTACCCCTGGGCTTTCTATTCTGTTCCATTGATCTATATTTCTGTCTTTGTGCCAGTACCACACTGTCTTGATGACTGTAGCTTTATAGTATACCCTGAAGTCAGGCAGATTGATTCCTCCAGTTTCATTCTTCTTTCTCAAGACTGCCTTGGCTATTTGAAGTTTTTTGTATTTCCATACAAATTGTGAAATTATTTCTTCTAGTTCTCTGAAAAATACCATTGGTGCCTTGATAGGGATTGCACTGAACCTGTAGATTCCTTTGGGTAGTATACTCATTTTCACTATATTGATTCTTCCAATCCACGAACATGGTATATTTCTCCATCTATTTCTGTCCTCTTTGATTTCTTTCATCAGTGTTTTATAGTTTTCTACATATAGGTATTTTGTTTCTTTAGGTAGATTTATTCCTAAGTATGTTATTCTTTCCTTTGCAATTGTGAGTGGAATTGTTTCCTTAATTTCTATTTTCTTATTGTTAGTGTATAGGAATGAAAGGGATTTCTGTGTACTAATTTTATATCCTGCAACTTTACTATATTCATTGATTAGCTCTCGTAATTTTCTGGTGGAGTCTTTAGGGTTTTCTATGTAGAAGATGGAGGTTCGTGACATTGTACAGGAGACACGGATCAAGACCATCCCCATGGAAAAGAAATGTAAAAAGGCAAAATGGTTGTCTGAGGAGGCCTTACAAATAGCTGTGAAAAGAAGAGAAGCAAAAAGCAAAGGGGGAAAGGAAAGATATGCCAATTTGAATGCAGAGTTCCAAAGAAGAGCAAGGAGAAATAAGAAAGCCTTCCTCAGTGATCACTGCAAAGAAACAGAGGAAAACAATAGAACGGGAAAGACTAGAGATCTCTTCAAGAAAATTAGAGATACCAAGGGAACATTTCATGCAAAGATGTGATCAATAAAGGACAGAAATGGTATGGACCTAACAGAAGCAGAAGATATCAAGAAGAGGTGGCAAGAATACACAGAAGAACTGTACAAAAAAGATCTTCATGACCCAGATAATCATGATGGTGTGATCACTCACCTAGAACCAGACATCCTGGAATGTGAAGTCAAGTGGGCCTTAGAAAGCATCACTACGAACAAAGCTAGTGAAGGTGATGGAATTCCAGTTGAGCTATTTCAAATCCTAAAAGATGATGCTGTGAAAGTGCTGCACTCAACATGCCAGTGAATTTGGAGAACTCAGCAGTGGCCACAGGACTGGAAAAGGTCAGTTTTCATTCCAATCCCTAAGAAAGGCAATCCCAAAGAATGCTCAAACTACCGCACAATTGCACTCATCTCTCACGCTAGTAAAGTAATGCTCAAAATTCTCCAAGCCAGGCTTCAGCAATACGTGAACCGTGAACTTCCAGATGTTCAAGCTGGTTTTAGAAAAGGCAGAGGAATCAGAGATCAAATTGCCAACGTCCGCTGGATCATCAAAAAAGCAAGAAAGTTCCTGAAATACATCTATTTCTGCTTTAATGACTATGCCAAAGCCTTCGACTGTGTGGATCACAATAAACTGTGGAAAATTCTGAAAGAGATGGGAATACCAGACCACCTGACCTGCCTCTTGAGAAACCTGTATGCAGGTCAGGAAGCAACAGTTAAAACTGGACATGGACAACAGACTGGTTCCCAATAGAAAAAGGAGTACATCAAGGCTGTATACTGTCACCCTGCTTATGTATATGCAGAGTACATCATGAGAAATGCTGGGCTGGAAGAAGCATAAGTTGGAATCAAGACTGTCGGGAGAAATATCAATAACCTCAGATATGCAGATGACACCACCCTTATGGCAGAAAGTGAAGAGGAACTAAAAAGCCTCTTGATGAAAGTGAAAGAGGAGAGTGAAAAAGTTGGCTTAAACCTTAACATTCAGAAAACTAAGATCATGGCATCTGGTCCTATCACTTCATGGGAAATACATGGGGAGACAATGGAAACAGTGTCAGACTTTAATTTTGGGGGCTCCAAAATCACTGCAGATGGTGATTGCAGGCATGAAATTAAAAGACGCTTACTCCTTGGAAGGAAAGTTATGACCAACCTAGATAGCATGTTAAAAAGCAGAGACATTACTTTGCCAACAAAGGTCCTTCTGGTCAAGGCTATCATTTTTCCAGTGGTCATGTATGGATGTGAGAGTTGGACTGTGAAGAAAGCTGAGCACCAAAAAATTGATGCTTTTGAACTATGGTGTTGGAGAAGACTCTTGAGAGTCCCTTGGACTGCAAGGAGATCCAACCAGTCCATCCTAAAGGAGATCAGTCCTGGGTGTTCATTGAAAGGACTGATGCTGAAGCTGAAACTCCATTACTTTGGCCACCTTATGCGAAGAGATGATTCATTGGAAAAGACCCTGATGCAGGGAGGGATTGGGGGCAGGAGGAGAAGGGGACGACAGAGGATGAGATGGTTGGATGGCATCACTGACTCTATGAACATGGGTTTGAGTAGACTCAGGGAGTTGGTGATGGACAGGGAGGCCTGGCATGCTGCGATTCATGGGGTCGCAAAGAGTCGGACATGACTGAGCGACTGAACTGAACTGAACTGAACTGATGTAGAAGATCATGTCATCTGCAAACAGTGGGAGTTTTACTTCTTCTTTTCCAGTCTGGATTACCTTTATTTCTTTTTCTTCTCTGATTGCTGTAGTCAAAACTTCCAAAATTATGTTGAATAGTAGCAGTGAGAGTGGGCACCCTTGTCTTGTTCCTAACTTTAGGGGAAATGCTTTCAACTTTTCACCATTGAGGATAATGTTTTCTGTGGGTTTATCACATATGGCTTTTATTA